ACACGTATACACACACACACACGTATACATTATATAAATATATACATACCATATGTGTATATATACATACCCTCAATATGTATACACATATGTGGTATGTTGAAAATCTAATCAAAAGGGCTTTAAACTGAAATGGAAGGAGAAGAGAGAAAACTACACATAATTTCTGTATTTTAAGCTGCGGTCCAGAAGTAAAAATCCCATTCTCAAAAACTGTGCTCTTAATCATCGGTTCTAAATCTGCCTTGCTCTTTGGAATTCCTTGCCTTTGATGGGCAGGTGATGACAACACCCCTCTGAAGGAGTTCCTAAGGTCATCAGTTCCTTGCCCACGATGCTGCGTTCTTTCAGCCCCATCCTTTACGTGCCTCTGAATCACCCGCGGTGGAGAGACAATCTTGGGGAAGCCAGAGGACCTCCATCTTGTTGTGATCAGCCTCAGTGACCTTGGCAGGCAGGAGGCCTAAATCATGCTTCTCACTGCTTCGTCTCTGATCACTCCTGGGTGTCTGCTCAGCCCACAGCAACACAGATCCACAGCATCCTTTCCTGGCAGTGTCTCCTTTGTGTGACGTTCTCCAGACCCAAGTCCGAGTGCCCTCTGCTTCTTGGCAGGCTTTTTCTTTCTAGGCTGCACACTGAAGGCTTCTGATTTTTCCCCCAAAGGAATACTTCGTTTTCCTTGATAACCTCCACGTCAGGGAGGCATCCCTTGAGCCTCTCTCCCTTTTCTTCTAGGAGGAAGGCTCTCTCCTTAAAACCTTAAAGGTGCAGATCAATCAGTTGGTTCCAGAAAGCAACATGGGTGGCAGGATTTTGCAAAGCTGCTGGGTTGTGAAGGGTTAAAGTCACTACTTGCTACTGATGACTAAAAGTCATTACGCACACCTGATCTCAGTGGGCTGATAAAGTAACACAATATGGCACAGAAGAAACAAGCGATCTTTTTTCTCCCAGACATTTAGAGATAGGCACAAGAACCATGGGGAGAATGCTGAAGGTCTGATTAAAGTGACATTCTATCATTATGCGGCAAATCATCTTGGAAGCCAGAGACAACAGATTAAATTACTGAGGATCACAGTTTGTGCAAAGAGGTCCTTTTATAGTTGCCCAAAGTAAACCACTGATGGGCAAGATGCTTGACCTCACAGGTTTTCAGGAACTTTAAAAAGCAGTCTTAGCTAACGCCAGTAGAGACCACCTCTGATGTCTCACCTTGGCGTGGAGGTGACCCCGGGCTTTTAAAGCATATGCTAGTGGGCTGCAAGCTCTGGAAGGACCACCCCAAGTTAGAAATGCTTGTAGTACACATGTGGTGAGAAAACGTGTGCTGATAAGGCTGGCCCCAGGGAGATGATATTCTCGCCACCTTGGCAGGCCACGAGACTGCCTAAAATGAGGCTGGGGAGGATTCTGTGCCGGGGAGGGAATGTCCACACCAACAGCAATGCATGCGACACCACCTTTACAGGGTTACTGTGAGGATCGAAGGAGAATGTATGCAAAGGGCTTCGCTAATGGCAGAGACCCACGTCAAACGCCGGCTGCTCTTATGAAGGCACGCACACAGGCAAATACAAGGGGGCAGAAAAGGAGGGTAATGCCAAACATGGGGCACCTTCCTGCAGAAGGCGGGCAGCCCCCCGGTCATCCTGTATGCCAGGAGCTCTTTGCTTTGCAGTCCCAGGTACATCCCACTGTCTACAGCGGCCTTTCCCAATCCCCCTTCACACCAGCGCCAGCCTTCCCTCTGTTGTTTCCCCACTCATCCCTTCTATAGCTCCTCTGCACAGAGCTGTTTGCAGGTGTTACTTAGTCTCTGAGCTCCCTGAGAGCAAGAACTGGGTTTATTTTCCCCCTTCTTTTCTGTTACCTCTAGTGCCTGGCGCATAGCAGGTGCTTAATAAACGCTTATTAATTTGTAAGCTGTCATCATTACTATGGAACAACTGAACCTCTTTTCTGCTCTATTCCGAAATTTCAGGTACATGACCTGGAAGAGGCCTGGGATCATCTAATCTCCTCCTCCTCCCTCTTTACGGAGCAGTGAAGTCACTGGTCAGGGTCATCTGACCTTGGATGGAATGGCTTGGCCTCCAACCCTATTCTTCAGGACTAAGTACGAGCCTGCCTGCTTTATCGAGGGCTTTTAGCACACCTGCCTGGAAAGGACCGCCTTCCCTTGGTTTCTAAACAGGAGGATGCGCTTCTTGAGGCCAAGGAGGGCTCATGCACATCAAACTGCTAAAAGAAAGAAACCTGAAACTCAATTTTCACAAGCGGTTACTGGGGACGAGCCCAAAGAGTAGACTAGGCTAACATGTTTGCTTGCTGTGCCCTCGAGCTGAGCCAGAGGAATTGAGAGGAGGGGAGGGGAAGGGAGAAGGGACCCACAGCTGGTGACTAAGTGAGCGAGAGGCCTGGACAAGATCCGTGCTTCGACCCTGGATATGCCACTTCCTGCAATGCGCCCCCCCCCCATATCCCTAAAAGAAAGGAATTGAACTTGATAACCTTTATGGTCAACTCTGGCTTTCAATTCTATGATCCTTCAGCCTGTATATACAATTACCACGCTTCTGGCTTTATCTATGCCAGCAAGAAGACAAAAGAATTTATTAATTTTTAAATGACTGAATTTTAAAGAAAAAAATCCTTGGAAATAAGATCTACTTAGTGAAAATTACTGTCCACTTTAAAGCGGGCCCCAGGAGAGAGATTTAATCTAAGACATATGTTTACAATAGAATGACTCCTAAATTCTATCACCCGGGCTTGGGCAATGGATTTGAGGACTATGTAAACGTCTCCCGAATTCCTCTACCACAAAACGAGTTTCCATCAGAGATTCTTGCCCACATCTTCTGTGGGAGCTGCACGATTCTCCTTCATCATATTCCAGAAAAGCCTCTGGCCTCAGGGTGGAGACACTTCCCTCTCCCAACATCCATGGGGCCTGACCAGGCTCACAAGGAGGCATATGCCCAAGTCAACTCATTTCACCAACCAGTTATTATTCCACCACATTGAAGGCACTAGGGACGCTGAGATAGTAGCATATGGGTCCTTGGGCTTCGGGGGCGGGGGAAGGGATATCCATAGCTAGGCCTTCCACCAGGCAGAGGAGAGGACAGGTGCATGATGGGCAGGGAGCATGCCTGGGCAGAAGAGCAGAGGGGAAAGGTGGAGAGTGGCAGGAGGGTCATGACAATGATGATGCCTGACATTTCTGCGGCGCTCTAAGGTCTGCCAAGCACTTTATCTCAGTTTATCCTCCCAGCCATCCTGTGAGGTAAGTACTATGCATTATCCCTGCCCATTTCACAAATGAAGAAACTGAGGCTCACAGAGGTTTCGTGACTTGTCCAGGTCACACACTCTCTGAGGAAGGGCCAAACCCAAGTCCAGAATTCTCAGGTTAGCTCGGACATTAGCAGGAATGATGATACTCAGAGCCCTCTCAGTGTTCTCTCTGTCTATGAGAGCCCGATGAAAAGGAAGAAGACAGAGGAACGAGGACCCATCCACTATCTCCCAGCACCTATTCTGCTGGGAGTCACCCCTACTGAAGTCCTGCTCTGATACCCTGTGAGAGCAGCCCTGAGGGGAGCTGGGCATGTGCAGATCATGTCAGCAGAGGGGAGCCCGTTAGAGGGTGTGCAGCTGTCATCGGAGGACCGGTCAGTGCAGAAAGCATCAGCCCTACAAGGTGGCCAAAGTGGGGCCAGAGAAAAAAACCAACCCGAGTGTGAAAAGGAGAACGTGGGCTGCTGAATCAACCGATAAGCATGTATTAAGCTCTTACTATGTGCCAGGCACTGTGTCATGTACCGTAGATACAAAGAAAAGCAAAAACCAATCCGTGCTCTCCAAGAGCTCACGATCTAAAGGGGGAGAAAATGTGCAGACGACGTACAAACAAGATACAGACAGGATAAACCGGGGAGAATCTATGAGCCATGGCAGGAATGTTAATTAGGGGACCTGGGAAAGGCTTCTCACAGAAGGTGGGGTTTCTGCTGGGAATTGAAGGAAGTCAGGAGGCAGAGATGAGGAGAGAGAGCATTCTAGGCCTGGGGAACGGTGATGGAGAATGCATGGAACTGGGAGATGGCATGCTAGGAATGGCAAGGAGGTTGGTGTCCCCAGACCACAGAGTACGTTGGGAGGAAAAATGTGAAAGAAGACTGGAAAGGTAGGAGGGGCCCAGGCTGGGAAGGGCTTGGAATGACCAACAGATCCCAGGAGTTCTGAGATCAAGGCCATGTCCCAAGTTAGTGACAGGTGCAGCCACCTCTGGCCTACAGGTTCCATTATTCAGTTCATGCCATCCTACCTCCCTGGTGCAGACCTTCACCCCCTAGGCTCCATCCACCTCTGTCTTGTGAGGTCCCTGCCCAGCTCAGGGGCCATCTCTTCCTTGACTCCCTCCAACTCCACCTCACTCACTTTCTCCCAGTACTCTGCACCAGTCACCTTCCCTCTCACAAGGCAGCTCCTCATGTGTCTTTCTGTCCCCACCTCTGAAATTCTGGCCTATGATCCCCTCTTTATTCCCAGGGCCCGGCGACACGAGCGCCATGCCCACATGTGCTGGGAGCTTTTCAGTCTGACAGCATGTTACATCTACGTTATCTCCTGTGATCCCAGGAGGTGCTGATTAACTGTCTGCTGAAAGCATGTTATCAAAACTGACCCCTACCAGACCCTAAGCAAGAACAGGAGATAGGGAAGTTGTGAGGCATTTGAGGCTGGAGGAAATTGAGTGGGAATGATTAGAATGAGAGGATTTCTGAGTTGGAAGTCGAGCTGTCATGAAGTGGACCCTCCCCGTCAGGGCAGACACTCCTCCTCCAGCCCCCCAGCCCCGCTCAGTGGCAGAAGTCTCCCCGCCTCGTGAGGAAGGAGCTTTATCCTTCTTGTGCTGTGCTAAAATCCACCTCAGGACTTGCACCCTCCAGTCCAGGGGCTCCCTTTGCCCTCTGACTGGTACTTACCCAGGTTACTGTACGTGGCGCTACAAGGGCTCTCGTCCGAAGGGTCCAAGGCTTCCTCCTTCCCTTCTTCCCTCTCCGGGGTGTGTGGTGGCAAAGCTGGCAGGCCCGACGCATCACTGCCACCCTCCTTCACAGGAGCCGCTCTTGGAACTCGAGAAGGGCCCTCGACTGTCCCCTCATGGGACACTTGGCTGAAACAAACAAGGTCACAGTCACATGAGGGTTCTCTGGGGCATGTCTCATCAGTCTTTCTGGTCATCCCCGGGGATATGGGGCCTGCCCAAGGCTGATCCTGTACTTTGTCTTCTCCCACGAGAAGCGTGTCTGTCACTGAACAGAACTGGGGGACGGGGAAGAGAGGAACTGTGTGTTTTTCGCTGACTATGGAGAAGTCTTGCATCAAAACCATGGAGACGGCTAAACACAGAGGCAATTCAAATAGCGGGAAGAGAAGGTGGTAAGGCTGTAGCGGCCGGTCAAAGGACTGGCCTGCCCAGATAGATGAAGGCCATCAGTTTGGAATGCCTACTTCCTGCCAGGCCAGAACCACAGACTCACTGGGTTTGAAGGGACCTCCAAGGTTACCTATTTGACCAGAAGCATGAATCTGGTCTACAACGTCACTGTCCAGTGGTCATGCGGTCTGCTTGAAGGCCTACGGTGTCAGGTAACCCACTACTACCTCAAAGGAAGCTCAATCCACTGGTGGAAAGCTGGAAATTAAGTTCCTCCTTCAGTTTTGCTGAAATTTGCTTTCCTTTAACTGTCACTTATTGGTTTTGGTTTGGTCCTCTAGGGTTGAGTGAGGCAAGTTTAATTTCTCTTCCAACCCTTCAAATAACTGCAAATAGGGACTCTGTCTTAAGGGAATCTAAAGTCTTCTCCTTAAAAGAGCAATCGCCTGACTTGGGGCAACTCAAATCCAGGGCTTTCAAACTTCTTTCACGGATACTCCAAAGTACTGCCATAGCCACAGGACTTCCAGGTTAACTGTGCTCCTCTTCTCATCCTGACTTTCCTACCAGCTCATCCTCTGGCAGCTACTGCTTCCTGTCCCCACCCCTACCTGAGCTCTTGGGAGTCTGCCATGTGTACGGCGAGGGAATGGGCTGATCTGGCAGATTTGGGCAGGGGCAGTCTTCCCACACTCAGTTCTGGCTGGCACAGTGTAAAACAAGCTGGCTGGATGAGTCAGAGGGAAAAGGTTATGGAACCATCGGGCTATGGGAAACCTTTAAAAGCCACCTGGCCCCCTGACAACATTTCAGTCAATGTCCAAGTCATGGCCTGGGTACAGGAAAGGTAAGAAGCAGCAAAGAATACACACACTATTCAATGCTATTTCTAGTTTGATCATCAGTAGTAATGAGGGCATGTGTAAGCACTCTTTATAGAAAATTTCCTTATAAAGAAGTGTATTTCTGTCTAGTGTTATGTTGGTGAAGCACATATCCCCTTGTGTAGGTTTGAAGGAGCAATTCTGAGGGGCCAGGAGCTCCTTCCTATCAATCTTTCATTACTGAGAATATGCATGTGCTTAGACAGAAAAATACACTGTGGTGTCTCTTGGCTACCGACATTCAAAAGTATCATTTTGCAGCATGGCAGAACCCGGGGACTCCCACATACTGGAGATGACTAATGACCTAGTAATTCAGTTATTGTGCTTGAGCACATGGGTCCAGTGGAGAAGGCTGGGGCACAGCCACCCATTCCCATGGGAGAGGCTGTAACGGAGTCATCAGTGACTTCTTACAAAGGCAGCTTTGGGCAAGGAGGCCCCTGCCCAACGGGCTGAACTGAATGCAATGCATCTTTAACCAAAGTCTGCTTAAAATGGGGTAGCCCCCAAAAATTTAAATCATAGAAAATAGAAGAATGGTCCACTGGAATGAGCCTTCATTGTATGGAGTTTCAGAAGAGGAGGGCTGAGTGACCTCAAGCATACCAACTCATCATTCTAGGCCTCTGTTAAACAAGGGGACTGGACTATATAAGTCCCCAAAGTCTCCTCCACTCAGCATCCATCACCTTTTGAGCTTATGATTTGAAATCTATCTTCTTTCCCCCTCAAAGTGCCCCTGATTTGACCACAATGCAAACTTCTACCTAATTAGGAGATGTGCTGCCTTGGCTTTCCTACCTGGGACATTCCATGCTATTTGACACGAATTGGACCTATATAAACATGTTAGTAGACCCACAGTCACGTGGCATTTCAAAAAGACAATATTTCAGATGATTTCAAGTCAGAATTGTGGATCACAGATTAGTTTTTAACATGCTTCATACAGAAAAGCGTGATTTTCTACTAGAATGCCATTTTGCTGGATATGAGAGTTAATGCAAAACATTTCTAATTACAAAGCAGTGAATACTGTGATTTTAAAAAGAACACAGCAGCCAGTAAAAAGGACAGCTACAAATCCCCCAGTTTTTTTTCTTCCAACTTTGGGCCAGCTTTGGAGGGGCCCAAAAAGGTGATATTAGGTCTCTAATGTCCTGCCTCTTTCCTCTCCCTGCCTAAAATCTGTGACACACAAGTCACTGAGTAGAGGTCAAAGCCTTTTCAGGATCCTCAAAGCTGGCTCTGACCCTACCATTCTACACTTACCTGTCTGCTTTGCTCGTGGGACCCAGGGTCTTTCAGGGAAGCCAACATGTGCACTGCTCTGCTGGGATGTAAAAGCCCTCAGCTGACAGACACAGTGCAGGCCCCAGTCTGGGAGGCTCCTCCCTTCACGGCAGGCTCATTCCCACACACATGCAGCACAAACACTAGGTGCTCAAGTGTTCCACCAAACACAGGCCCAGGAAAAAAGAAAGAAAGACTCACCCACTGTACTCACTGACACAATTCCCCATTAGAGGAAATTCTCTCAGGGCCTTCTTGAGTCTGTTAATCATGTTTAGAGAGTCTGTGAGCCATTGATCCCCCTGAGTTCTGGCGAGCAGAAGCAAGAGGCCTGAATTCTGTGGGGTGATGTCACCTGCTGCACCCTCACCTTTACCTTAGGGGCTGGGCCTGGAGCTGGGCCAAGCACTAGGAGAACTTTAGAAGAGGAAGTGACGCTTACATTGGGCTGATTAACTCACACAGACTCATCTGAAGTGGGGCCCAGGTGGATGAACCAGCCCATTAAAAGGATCTTCATTTGGAAGGAAGGAACCACCCAAAGCTCATGAAAGTGAAATCACCTGACTCTTCTCATGGCTGCTGAGATTTTAAATATGCATTTACAGTAAGACGGGGAGGAATGCTTTCAATGCACCCATGATATGGGAAGAAGGGTTTCTGAACTGAAACTGTAGAGGGGAGAGGTTTGGGGAGTTCAAGCTTAGATATGGGAACACGCAGTCACTCCAAATGAACAGAGAATTGATCAGCAGCATCACAGGTCAACATAGTCACTCTCCAGGGACAAGAGAAAAAGATTAGCAGCGGGGATAAAGGAGGAAAGAAATCTTAATGATTCATGATCAATCATCAGGACCTTTAGGCACTTTATGCAATCTACAAACATAATATTTGGTATGAATTCTGAATGAGTCTTTTCAGTTCCACACAGAAACACAACCCCACACCTTCCCCCATTAGGATGCGAGATCCTCCAGGGAAGCGATCGCTTACTTTCCTACTTGTATTTGCATTCTAGCATTTAGCACAGTGCTTGGTACACAGTAATCACTTCCTAAGTGTCAACGTAAAAGCTACAAAGTCTCCAAGTTAGTAATGTTTCACAAACACAGCTTTATCCATTAACAAAGTGGCCCTCAAATCTTCCCTGGGAAATAATCTTGAGGCAGAGAAATCGAATCCAATTCAATTCAAACAGCTACTAGGGAGTACTCTGTGTAAAACCCAGTGCTCAGTACTTGGGATACAAAGACGAAGAAAACAAGTTCCTGTCCTCAAGGAATTTATAGTCTAAGAAAAGGGTTGCAGACTTGCATTCTAGGAAGCCCGACACAGCAGAATCAATACAAAGGAGGCATTCCTTCAGAAGCCTCCTCTATTCTCTCCTTTGCTTGTGTCCTCCTGATCAAGTGACTCTTCTTTTCGCCAGTCCCTTTGATCTGTGTCTTTGAAGCAGCTCATTCTATCTCCTTGGGGAGCCTGCTCTTGCCTTCACCTTCTCTCCCTAAATTATCAACCTCAACCTCTCTTTATCCAGTGGCACCTTTGCTGTTGCTTACAAATATGCCCACATCTCTTCCATTCTTTTTTTTTTTTAAGGCAATTGGGGTTAAGTGACTTGCCCAGGGTCACATAGCTAGTGTTAAGTGTTTGGTCTGAGGCCATATTTGAACTCAGGTTCTCCTGACTTCAGGGACGGTGCTCTATCCACTGCACCACCTAGCTGTCGCAATCTCTTCCATTCTTTTTTTTTTTTGCTTTTTGGTGAGGCAATAGGGGTTAAGTGACTTGCCCAGGGTCACATAGTTAGTAAGCGTCAAATGTATGAGGTCAGATTTGAACTCAGGTTCTCCTGACTCCAAGGCTGCAGCTCTATCCACTGCGCCACCTAGCTTGCCCCCGATCTCTTCCATTCTTAAAAAAAACAAAACAAAAAACAAAAAAACCCCTCAAAATCTTGTTTTCTTTCACTACCAATTCTTAGAAAACACTATCTCTTTGTCTCCACTTTCTCACCTCCCACTCACTTCTCAGTCCTTTGTAATCTGGCCATCATCCCCAGCGACCTCCTGGAATGCGTCTCTTCAGGGTCACCAATGATCTCTTTACTGGTGAATGTAACATCTTTTTCTTATTCTTTGCCCTCTATGGATCCCTAGCAGTGTCTGGCATTGTTTGTCACACGTTGAGAAGATTTTTTTAGGGGGGAGTGGGCAAGGTCCTGACACTATATACATAAGTGCAACCTCTGTGAAGAGATGTGTGTGTGTGTGTGTGTGTGCGCGCGTGCATGCGTGCGTGAGAGAGCTTCAGCAGCACTATTCAAATGGGTGGTGTTGACTAAGTAAAACAATTTAATTACCCTCCCCATCTAAAGCCCAGTATCTAAACCTGGGAATGTGTCTATATTGAATTAAATCAAAAGCATTCCAAATAAATATGAAAAGGGGTTGTTTAGCTGAGATGATTCTGAGAAGTCACTGGATTAACTGAAAACAACAAAGCACAGAAGATTTTGGATGGGCTGAGGACACTTGGTCCCACTGGGGGTGG